TTTTATTAATAATTCCTGGGGGTTTTATCCTGTTTTCTGCCCCCAAACCCCCATTTAGGAGGGGCTGAGGAGGCTCTTGAGCTTCATCTCCCTATTTTTTCTCTCCCAACCAGCGACGATGGATCCGAAGGCGACGCCTCCGTGTCCAACAAGTTTGTGAACGACGGGAGTTTCCTGCAGCAGTTCCTCAAGCTCCAGAAGGAAAAATCGAGTGCTGGTAGGTCCATCCCGAGCTCCAAGCTCTGGGAGAGTCCCTGCTCCTGCTTAAACCCCTGCTAGGAAGTTCTGAGGCGATGATTATTCCTGAAAATTCGGGTTAAAGTCTGGATTTGGGAAGGTTTTTCCCTCTTTCTTTTCACTCCCCTGTGCTGTAAAAAAGCAGTTCTCTCCTGGCTCAAATCTCCCTTTGTGAAAAGTCATCAGCAGGTTTTTTTTTTTTGGCTTGTATTTTAAATTAAATTACATTTTAAGTAAATGAATAATAACGAATTAAATCGCTTTGATTTCAATGTATTTAATTTAATGATATTTATTTAAAATTTCTTAAAGTCCAGTTCCTTGGAGTCCAATTCCTTTCCAAGAACTTTGAGTGGAAGAAATTTCTCTCGATTTTTCCCGCGATTTCCCCGTGAATTTCCGCGAATTTTCCCTTCAAATTTTCCCTTCAAATTTTCCCTTCAAATTTTCCCTTCAAATTTTTCCCTCAAATTTTTCCCTCAAATTTTTCCCTCAAATTTTTCCCTCAAATTTTTCCCTCAAATTTTTCCCTCAAATTTTCCCCTCAAATTTTCCCCTCAAATTTTCCCCTCAAATTTTCCCCTCAAATTTTCCCCTCAAATTTTTCTCAAAGTTTCCTTCAAATTTTCCTTCAAATTGCCTTTACTAAATTCACCTAATAATAAATTTAATCAATTAAATTAAACCCAAAACTCCGCTGCTTTTACGCCGCTTTCCCTCACACCCTCCCCGCCCTGTAATTTCTCCCCGACCCAAACCCGGATCCCAGGAATTCTTTCCCTTTGTTTCCCCTCAGAGCCCCCCCCGAGCTCCAGCAGCAGCAATCCCGGGCACGCTCCGACCCCGAGCGTTGGGAAGCGGCTTCCTGGGAAGCGGCAGCTCCTGAGCCGGATGTTGCACCAGGCCCGGAGCCTCCCCCAGCCCCGGCCTGGCCCCGGCCTGGCCCTGGACAGCGTCTTCCAGGGCCCCGACGAGGACGATGATGAGGACTACGAGCAGTGGCTGGAGATCAAAGGTCAGTGATCCCTGGGCTCCAGAGGTTTGGGATGCAGGAACACCCATCCTGGGATAGGGGTCAGTGTAGGGACAGCATTATGAGCAGTAGTTGGAGATCAAAGGTCAGTGATTCCCTCTGCTCCAGAGCTTTGGGATGCAGGATCACCAATCCTGGGATAGGGGTTCAGTGTAGGAACCTGTGTTCCATCAGTTTGGGATGTAGGATCACCAATCCTGGGATAGGGGATCAGTGTAGGGACAGGACTACGAGCAGTGGCTGGAGATCAAAGGTCAGTGATTCCATGTGCTCCAGAGGTTTGGGATGCAGGAACATCCATCCTGGGATAAGGGTTCAGTTTAGGGACCTGTGCTCCATTTGGGATGCAGGAACACTGATCCTGGGATAGGGACAGGATTGTGAGCAGTGGTTGGAGATCAAAGGTCTCCCTGT